AAAAAAAAAAAAAAAAAAAAAAAAAAAAAGTGATTAAATCATGGGGTAGGGGCATGAATGGATCAAGGCTATCATCACAGAAGTGGGTAAATGCTAAGCAATCTCCAACCCTTTAAAAATATGGGCCCATACTATAACAGCAAGAAGGCCGAAGGCTGTCACCCATGTGGCCCCTCGATCTTGGACTTCCAAGACTCCAGAACTGTGGGTCAAATGAATTTTCATGTATAATTTACATAGTCTGTAGTATTCTGTTATAGCAGCAAAAGGGGTACCAAGACAGATGGAATGTGTAATATAAATACTAAATAAGTGTTTTCTTTTAAACGAGAAATGGCAATTAAAAAAAAAACAAAACACCACTAACCTACAACTAACTGTGCTAAATGTTCTTGGCAAAATGTAGTTGAAAAGGGGCCCAGCAAAAGCATTTTAAATATCTATTATTGGCTGAGGAGGAGAAATAAAGGAAGAAAGCCTCTTGGTGGGAGGAATTAATTGGTACCTAGTTACCATGGAAGTTTTTTCATTACAAAACCCAGAAAAGACAAGTCAGTCCAGAAGGAAAACGGCATGTAGTGGAGCTTCCAAAGTAAGAAAAGGAAAAGATGATGGGCATCTATTGTCAGTTGTTCCATCTCTTCTTTTTTTTTAAAGCTTTTATTATGGAAATTTCTAAAGTCATGCTACAAAACAGGGAATAACACAGTAAATCCCCATGGACCCAACACGAGGGTCCAATGACTGCATTATTAAAACCTGAGGTTATTGCTGGTCATAAACCTTGCAATGTTTCCATTTTTTATTTTCCTAGCAATTCCATTTAGAATTTGCAGAAATTAGTGCTAGCCATCATTGGCTAAAAGATTTCTTCTTCAGTTTTGTGTCTGATCCACAACTCCAAAATTAATGCCTTCATAAGGACACAAGCTGTGCTTTTTGCCTGGCAAACAGTAGTCTACCTTCTCCATAGCTAACTTTTTTTTTTTTTCTGTGCTGGGGATGGGATCTAGGGTCCTGAGCATCCTAAACAAGCTCTCTACCCCTGAGCTACATTCCCAGCCCCATAGCTGACTTTTAAATGGCAGACAACTAGCAAAAAAATCACCAAATGTGAAATCCTTTTGATTACAAAGATTCAAAAATCCTACCCTTGGCAGTAGATGTTTTGGTGCCAATTCTTTTAATTTGTGAAAATCAACCAGCATTTATTTTCACTCAATAAAGACACCTGGCTTAGAACAGCATCATTCGCCCTCTGCTTCATTTTGGTGCCAGATGTTGATGACTCTGGAAAACTCTGTATTATTGCTTTATTCCTGGTGAGTTCTTAGTGGAAAAGAGCAACAGATAGTCCATAACTAATCCAATGGAAACCACAGGCAACCTGGGTGAAAACATCAAAAAGTAAAACAAGATAGGACATATTGACAAGCATATCTATGAACAAGCAGGTGAGCAGGTGAACACCAGCCAGGTAAAGTGGGCACCAGCCAAGTTATTGCCAAACATTCCTATTACCTTCTTTTCTGAAAATGAGTCTTTTTTTTTTTTTTTTTTTTTTTTACATTTCCACTGTCTTTATCCAGACTCTGTCATGACCGAACCCCTGAGACTGGGCAGCTTATGAAGGAAGGAGGTTTATTTTGGCTCAGGGCTCTGGAAGTCCAAGAGCATGATATTGGCATTTGCTCAGGTTCGGTGCTTCTCCGTGCATGATGAAAAAGGAGCAAAGCAAGCAGGGGCATTTGGAAGAGAGGAGAGGACAGGGGATCACTTTATAACATCAACCTTCTCTCTAGTGAGACCTAATCTCTTCCCGAGAGAACTAACCCAGTCTTGAAGACATTCTGAAAGGTCCCACCCCCCAACACCATTACACTGGCAACTAAATTTGACCAGGAGTTTGGTGAGGACAGAAGCCATAAAGCAGACTGTAGTGTCATGATTCATAATTTACATACTTGGTTTCAGGTAGCTTTTGAAGGCCCTGCGGATTCTGAATTTATTTCCCCCTGGGAACCTGGTCAGAGTGCATTGATCCTTACCACCTGCTCCCAGGTTCTGCCCCTATAGCCCCGCATATCCCCAGTAAGCCATGTTTTTGTCTCCACCCTTAAACTGTAGGGAACTGTGGACAGTGGGTAGTCACTGGGTCTTTGCAGCCTTGCAGCCAGCCACAGCAGATGCTGGGGTGTAGCCCTTCTTCAAATTTACTTCTTCTGGACCTCATCTAAATATCCCTCCAGCCACACCCGAGTCTCAGGAGAAAACCCTACCTCCCCTTTAGCACAAGAAGCGAAGGCCATTTCTACTTCCTGCAACCCCCACCACACCCGCCCACCTCTACTTCCCAACCCTGCATCCTTCCCGCCCACCTCTACTTCCCAACCCTGCATCCTTCTCCCACCCTTGTCCCTCGGGCCTGGGTCCTTCCCTCCCAAAGTCCTGGCCTCCCTCTTTGACTGCATCCCTTTTCCATCCTGGCATCCCCCCCCCCGACCCCACTCATTCCCACTCACCTGCCTCTGACTTTGTCCCTCCTCTTCCTCCCTCCTCAACCTCCACTCTGCTCCTTGACCCCCGTACCACCCTTCACCCAGACTCTGCCCAGCATGGCCCAGGCAGAGGGTACCATTGCTTCCCTCTGGACATCCAAGCCCTCACCTGTAGCCTCTGCATTTCTGGGAATCCACCCCGCTTCTCTTGGCTCTGTCCCTGTCTCTGTCTCTGTCTCTCTCTGTTACCCCTTCTCCTCACTCACCTGCCACCCCCAACACCACTCCTCCAGCTTCTCTGACCGCATCTTTCTGATCTCCTTCGAAGACCGTTTTCCTTGTTTTCACCTTTAATGTCCCCAGCTCGCTTCTTACACAGCACCTACTCTTTTGGAGATCTCTTTGATCCCCTCTTTTGCCAATGAGCTTATTTTCTCTCCAATTACAGATAAATGAGATTGTACAGGGTTTGAATATTCATTTTGTTTTTGTATGAAAACTTGTTTTACTTGTCTCTATCTTCCATTGCATTAGAAATACCTGAGCCCAAGACTGAGCCAAGACTGAAGAAGGTGACCCTCCACAGTGGATGGAGATAGTTCCCTGTTCTTGCCAGGAAGGCCAGCGTGACTGGCACAAGAGTGCCTAAAGTCAGAGCCCTCAACATAAGGAACTCCATTGTCTCCACTGCTGACAATTTGAGCTCCACTTGGGTCTTGAAGAGCAATCAAAGTTCTTCCTGATTATAGGCAAAGGAGAAGAAGGAGGTTTGGGGAAGAGGAGAGGGAGGGTCACTGGGAAGGAAGCTGAGAAAGCACTGAGGTTGAGAGAGGAAGGGGAAGGGGGTGGGAACTTACCAGGGACCCAAAGCTGAGAGGATGGACAGTGGAGAGCAGCTGCCTGGAAAGTGCCAGACCAGCAGAACAGGGAGGGGACAGCCTCAGGGACTGCAGCGAGCCACCTGGTCTGCCCAATAGACGCTTCATGCCCTATGACCAGGTCTTCACCAGCTATCTGGGAAGAGAGGGAGGTAACCCAGACCACCAGCCAGCTACTTGCCTATGCTCCAGTAGGAGCCCTCGACACCAGTGAGACGTTCGTGGAGTGGGTCTCCTGATCTTCCGCTAGAGGGCTGTGTTAAGCACACCCAAGCATCCCCAAGCTAGGAAGCGGCAGCAGACAAATGGAACCTCCAATTATGGACATATCCTCTTGCCCAAGGATATCTTTCTCCTCTAGGTTATCCACAGATATCCTCCAATTCAACCTGACTTCCCTTCAAACTTGTGCCTCCTTTCTCTCCTCATCTCACTAAAAGGGACCCTCAAGTCAGAAACCAGAAGTCATTCTGGAAACCCTCACAAGTCACCTTAGAGATTAGGCTTCCCAATCTCTCTGGGTGCTTTCTGCTCCCTTCCATCCTCCCTGATGTACAGAGGCTCTGGCCTGCAGCTTGGGCACCAGTGTGGCCTTCTGACTGGCACAGCAGCTGCTCATATTGTTCTCCTCACACCTGCTCTAAGACTCCATGGTGGACAGCTGGCTGGCAGTGGGACCCTTCATGAGACCAGAGACCCAGAGGAGGGAGGGTGGAGGTAGTGTAGGGCAAATGGGAAGGTATGAAATGCAGTCAGGGCAGAAAGTGCTAGAGTCCTAGCACAGCCCCCAGGGCAGAGGAGAGAATGGAAAAATCAAGTCCCACCCATGACAGCCTCATGTCCACTCCTTCCCAAAGAAAAGGGCTACCAGCCAGTGCCAACAAGGCCAGGAATGTGGAAGCTCCTGCTGTAGTAGCTTAACCTGGGAAAGGCCCCAAAGGTCACATGGTTGGTGACAGGAGAAGGTAGATGGGACCCAGGCTAAAGAAGAAGGCTGAGCTGCTAGACGGTGGGGGTCAGAGCAGTCAGGCTCTGACAGGGAACCCTTCTGAGTGAATGCCAAATCTATAGTCTGTCTTGAAGCATGAGATAGTAGCTGGGGCCGCGCGGGTTGTGGCCCATCTCTGACCTTATAATCTATAGTCTGTCTTGAAGCATGAGATAGTAGCTGGGGCCCCGCCAGGGTTGGCCCATGGCTCTGACCTTAGCTCTGACCTTTCTCTAGCCAGTTCACAGAAGCCCGGCAGCCCTCCCTCAGAACACTCTCCCTCAGAACACCTGCCCTCTGTCTCCGGCATCACCAGCTGGCCTAGAGCATGGTTCTCGTGGCTACAGAATGACCCGTCGAAAACCCATGGTTCATCCATTCGGCAGTCATGGGCAGGAAATGGCCTCATACCCAGGACCGCCACACTGGAGGTGAGCTCAGCATAGGACGGCATGTAGGAAGCAGTCTCGAGTGGATTCACAGGGGCTAGAGACTAAGAGCTTCCATGTACCACTTCTCCAGTCTCCCCAGTCCTCAACCTTCACACAGCCCTTCCCAGGCAGCAGAATCCCTGCCGAGCCTCTCCCTTGGCTGGAGCACATTTCCCACACCCAGCACCCCACTCTCCAGGCAGGCTCCTTCTGACTTTTCCTGGGGCTTCCTCCCAACTCTCATCCACCTCTGCCCCTCCCAGTCTTGCACCCTGGGGCCAGCTTATCTGTGCTTCCTGCACTAAGAAGGTGCCCAGCAGATGTTTCAGCAAATTAAGAAGGCACAGCAGAGCAGGTCTGCGATAAGGACGTTGTCTGGGTGAAGGTCAGGTTCTGCCTGTCCAAGCATGAGCTTTCCATGGCAATGACTTGCCCTTCCCTCCCCAGAGGGCATCCTGTATTGGCCTCTCTGTACCCACCCATCGCATGCCTGCACTGCCAACTGTCTCACCAGAGGGTAATCCTGTGTGGTTTTTACTCTAGTGCCTGTGAATAGAAGAGTTAGAGGAAAGTGGCCGGGAGCCCTTCCCAGGGCCTTGCACGCACATACCCCCACCTCAGGGCCTGGGCAGCTCTGCTGCTCCTGCGGCCTTTCCCCATCCCTGTTCCAGACAGGTCCAGACACCAGCCCTCCAGCAGGGAGCAGCTCCAGCCCCCACTGGAATCAGACCAACTGGGGTACACACCCTTTGTCAGAGCTGCCTTTGCAGGGCCTCCCAGCTCAAGGCTCAGCTGTGGGCACAGAGAATATAGACCCCAGCCCTACTCCCTGCATTTGAACACATGGGTCATCCTTGCCCCAGGCCTGATGTTTTCTTTCCCCTTGTCCTGGCATCTTCCAAATGCCTTCCTATACTCACAGCCTCCAGATCAGCCACCAGCCCTTTGTTCTTTAACCTCTGTTCCTTACCCTGAATCCCTGTTGGCCTAGGGGCTGACAGTTGCAGGGGCTGCCCTATTGGTCCCCCGCTCCTATAACTGCTCCATGCAGCAGTGGCCACAGGAAGTTTTTCAGGCAGTTCTGCATGGAGTCTACAAGTTCATATTCTTCACTGGGGGATTCAAGGCCCCTCTTGCCTGGCTCCTGCCAATCTCTGCTGAGGTCTGGGCCACCCAGAGCTCTGTACTCTTCTCCAAACACACCAGGATCCCTCCTGCCTCCAGGCCATACATGCTGCACATGGCCAAGTCTGGAGTGGGATGTCTCACAATGCACACTCTGACTCTTTCCCCAAGCTCAGGCACCTAGCCAGTCTGTCCTCGGAGGACACACACCATCCTGTGGTCCCTTGTATTATGTTCACTGACCCCTTTGTTTGCAAGTCGGCCTCCCTGTCTGGGCTTAGATTCCCCAGAAGTGGAGCCCTGAAGCAGGGATCCGGGCTCAGAAGATTTATTAAGAGCAAGGATGACTCTCAAGAGAAAGCCATAGGAGAGGAGGGAGGCAGGAGACAAAAGGCACTTGGGGGAATGAATGTCAGGTAAAGTCTAGTAGAGCCTGATTCAAGGGCTCTGCAATGTAAACCACACTGCTGACCTGTCTCCTGGGGCACGGAGGAGCCTTTGTGTCCCTGTATCAGCCAGTCATAGGCTGTGGGGTAAAGGATTCACGACTTCCCAGGGTTGGTGGCTATCATCAGGCAGGGGTGATTCACAGCACAAGGGGCAGATGTGAGCAGCAGCAGTTACCACACCCACAGTGAAGAGATGGGAGAGTATACTGGCCAGGTAAAGGTGGACCAGGCTGTGTACCTGCAGCCCCCTGCCGAGGAAGACCTCTAACAGATTTCTGAATGGGTGAGAAGTATGTGGACTCCTTGCTTACCCGACTCTGATGTCCCCCAGACTCACATCTACATTTGCTGCCCTGTGAAAAGGTCCTACCCGAAGCCAGAGGGAGTGCAGTTGCCACTGTAGGGACCAGAAAGGAGCCTAGACATTGAGTCTCCAGGGAGGGGTTCTGCACTGACCCCTTCCCTACTCACTGAACATCTGCTATGTGCCCATCCATTAGATGTTAGGAGTGTTAGCCATCTAATTCCTCATGATATCCATCTTACAGATAGAAAAATAGAGGCTCAGAGGAGTGACAGGACTCCAGGCAGGTCATGCAACTTGTAAGTGGAAGACTTGAGTTCCGGTATGAATGACTCCCTGCCTCGTTTCTTCCCCTCCAAAGCAAGGAGGATCTGGTAGCTCAGTCTTTCCTGCCCACTGTAAGAGGCTGGTGAGTCCAGGGACATCTCTCTGTCCCACAGCTGGGCTCAGCTAAACTTAGAATCCCCAAGGATCACATCTGGCATTTGCAGTAGTTGGGAGGCCCAGGCATATATTTTGCATATGATTTGCATCATGATTGCATCTGGTTTGCATATGTTCACACTGAGAACTCATCAGCACTGCACAATTTTTAAATTGCTTTGAAGCCACTCTCACTCAATGGAAGTTCATCAGAGCTTTACAGAGTCCAGTTTCTATGATTTCTGGACTCTCTGGCCCTCGCCTCCAGACTGCTCCTCTGTCTGCCCACTGCAGGGTTCTGGACAAGCCACACCTCTGTCCAGGTGGAAGAGGTTGTTGTAAACACCTGGCTTAGAAACTTATGCGGATTTGGCAGTCACCTTTTTTGATGATGCACGTGCAATAAAAATGCTGAGTGTGCTTTGAGCATGCTGGGGTTGGACACAGTGCCGCTGCACAGAACTTCCGAAGGTGGCTCCGTGGGCAAGGAGGCCCAGGTGCGTACTCAGGAAAAGTGAGGGTGGTGAACAGGGACAAGGGGTTAGACTGTCTGGAGTGTGTACCGAAGGGCCGGTGGCACCACAGATTGGCTTAGGGAGAGCAGGGGCTGAGCTTCTCCGAGCAGCAGAGGGTTCATCTTCCAGAAAGCTACAGATTCCATGCTTTTCATTGCTGTCTCTTTAGGAGAACTACATTCCGTAAAACTTTGTGATATTGTGTGGTGAATCCTGGATAAAAGAGGAGAGACAAAGCCTCGGTGAAGTGAAAGGAGCCTGGAGAGGGGATGGGACCTTGATTTTGAGAAGCACAGACAGGGAAGGGGTATCCGAGACACACGGGATGCCCAGTGCCAGGGCCCCGTACTCATTTACCACTCGGCAAGCATCTTCCAAGGACCCATTCTCAAATTTTTTTCTGCCCCAGGAGGCCCACAGAGGAAGGCAGGAAGTTCCAGTGTCCAACAGAGGTTCTCTTGTATCTCCCCACTGGGCCAGTGATGGACTCTCGATGCAAGGCTTTACTCTCATGTCTATGCCGGATGGTTGTGTCATCCTCCAGCTTCCCCAAGGAAAGAGGTAGTGCATCTGTCACAGGGGGCAGTGAAGACGGCAAAAGTATGTGCATGCATGTGTGCACACAAGTGGTCGCAGAGTGGAGGGTGGGCCAAACTGTTCCTGTGTGTGGCCCCTTCGCCTGTCTCTGTCCAGGTGGAGAAACTCCAGTCTAAGGCAGGGAGAACATGACTGCCTCCCTCCCCTGCCGCTGGCCTCCCTAGGTTTCCTGTCTGGCAGATGTGAAGTGGCCTCATCATCCATGGGGAGACCCCAGGCTCTGGTGCATCCAGCCAAGACCCTAAGCATCTCCCTATGCTGACATCCTCCGCCTCCACCAGGATGGGGCCCAGGCCCTGGCTCCTCAAACTGTTCCAATTAAAGAGGGAGCATGGTTTTGATGTCAGCCACCTGGGAAAGGGGGAGGTGGGGTGTAGCTGTCCTTCCAGCCCCCTGCTACATCGACATTTCCCACTTCAAGCAGGGTCCAGCCTCCTTCCTGTGAGTTGTGGGCCCCACATCTGGGGCTGGGGAAGGGAGTGAAAGGAAGGGGTGGGACCCCTTGGAAAAAGATCACAGTTTCTGGGGTGGGGAGATTTCTCCTAGAGCCAGCTGGGCGTTGCTGCCAAGCAGTCAGAAACCAGCCTCTGAAGAGCAGCAGAGCTCTATTCATTTCCCTCTCAGATATCTCTCACTTTCTGAAAACCAGAAAGTTAGTGGTTACCAGATCAAGACCATGTTGTGGATATTATGTATCTGCCCCCAGCAAAATGACTCATAACATCTCTGTTAAAGGTTATAGAATAGAACATCCCAAGGGTGTGTAGGTTAGGGTGAAAGACTCTTTTAAGCATCATTTACTTGCCTAATCCATTCAAACTACCTCAATGGTAGGTTACTGGAAGCAGACAGGGAAAGCCATGGCTTGTCACCAAATGACTATATATTTCGGCCCGAGTTCCATAGCACCCTGTCTCAGGCCTCCCCTCCCCTCCCGACCCTCCTTCTCAGGTCCCGGTCACTCCTGCAGAGCTGGCTTCAGCCTGCCATGCTGTGTCCTCTCACCACCCCCAAAGGCCCCCAGTAGTGGGTTGAATAGAGCCCCTCCTCCCCAAATTCCTATCCATTAGAATCCCAGAATGTGAGCTTACTTGAAAATAGGGTGCTTACCAATATGGTTACCTAAGATAAGGTTATATTGGGACCTAAATTCAGAGACTGCTGTTCTTCGAAGGATGCACAATCGAGGGGTGGGGGGGAGTGAAGGTGGCCACGCAAAGATAAAAGCAAGCAGAGTTTGGAGTGATACAGCCAGCCACAAGCCAAAGCACTCCAAGGATTGCCAGGAGCCATCAGAAGCTGGAAGAGGCAAGAGGGTTCTTCCAGAGCCATTGGAGGGAGTATGGCCCAGCGGACACCTTGATTCTGACATATCTTCCAGAATTGGGGGACAATAAGGTTTTGCTGTTTCAAGCCTCTGAAGTTGTGGTCATTACTACAACCCTCTGAATGAATGAAATGAATGAAATCTACATCTGGAAGTTGGATTCCCTTCAGCCTGTATTCCATAATCCCAAAGCCCAGGAGAAAGAACAATCAGTCTGGCTTTGGGTAGGTCTGTCCCCAGGGACGCATAAGCCACAGGCTGGAAGAGGAACAGGGCAGGATGTGGGCTTCAGAGCTGCCGCTTTCAGTGTCCTCTGATACCCAAAATCTGTTCACATCTCAAAGTTGGTTTTGAAAGGTCTCTCCAGGCAGCCTCAGGAGTCCTGTGAATTCTGTATACCAAGCCAGCCACTTGCGTGAAGACACATGACTGCAGTCACCTGTTTAGATAAGACCAAGACAGGAAGGAGTGTCACTCTGTTGAATGACAGAACCAGGATTCAAAAGGCACCTTGCAGACTAGAAAGTTAACAAGATGGTGTTGAATGAGGATGACTACAAAGAACAACTCTTGGATTCTAAAAGTCAATTTCAAAACGAAGTATGAAGGAAGCCTGGCTTACCACAGCCAAGACCTGAAGGTTTTCTTTATCCAGATGCTAATAACAAACCAGAGCCAGAGCCCAGGAAGAGCAGCAGAGCATTCTTGTCTGAGCTGCACAGGTGATGGGCATTTGCATCCCAGACAGAGTCTGGAGACAACATTGATCCCATGAGAAAAGCGGAAGGGCGGAGTGGCCACCCAATTGGGTTGCACAGGTTGGTGGGGAGAGGGATCTATAGGGTTATCAGATCTCACCCGCACCCCTAAACAACGATGAGTGAGGAGGCAGAGGCAGCCAGCCAACAGGGACAGTCTGGGGCCAAATCCAAGATGACTGGGGGTGTGGTGCTGGTCCGCCCAAGAATACCATCCCTAGGCTCCAGAGCCCTGGTCTCCAAGGACTCGCAGACTTTTACAATCAGAGTATCTAGAGGGTCAGAGTATTTAGACCCCTGGCCCAGCCAACCACAGGGGTCGGCATTTCTGTCTCTCTGGTATCCGTGAGCAAGTGAAGTAGTAGCTGGTCGTGCCTGGGAGGGCCTCGGAGGGCGCGGCGGCCTGCGCCGGCCACCCGGGGGCTGTTCCCTTAACTCACGCTTGCGGGCAGGCCC